TAATCTAAATGATATCAAATCAATGTTCTTGGATTTTCACCGACACGAAGGTTTAATAAAAAAAATATTTACGCAAAGTTATGTATCTGGAATGGAGTTTCGTAGATGTTGTCCTCGTGAGTCGCGCTTATAGGGGCGCACGACTTTCCATGCGAAACGAGGTCTACCCCACCTTCCTTCCTTTGCCTAGGGGTGCACGAAGATGAGATAGATCTTCTTGGAGGTCGAGGTCAACATCGAGGTCAACACTCGGAAATGATTTGGAATTAGCTGTGTAAGGCCGAAATCAGACTACGCATTGAAGAATGAGATTGAAGATTGAAAGATTGAAGTTTGACCAATCAGAACAAAAGGAACCAAAAAATTTCTTTGTCCTTATTGGTAAAATTTCAATCTTTAATCTTTAATCTCAATCTTCAATGCATAGTCTGATTCCGGCCTAAAAATAATCCATTCAGACGGTATATAACTTTATTTAAACATTTTTGGCATTAAACCTTCTTATCGGTGAAAATATATTTAAGGGCGTTTATTAGTCATTTGTAGTATTTCTGCCAAAATTCATGTAATCGAGCGTTGGACGTTTTCGGAAGTTTATCCGAAATTTCACTTTAAAAGAATGAAAATACAGGCACTTTTGAAAAAGAGTGAAAATATTTCACTTTTTGAAAAAGAATCGCAGTATTTTACTTCTTTAAAGAGATTTACCTCAATGGTAAATATTAAGTTTAGTCTCCTTACGTCTAATCTTGATGAAACTAGTTTCATTCGATGTGTTTTTGCACGACATAAATTTAATAAAATAAAAGTCGCTCTGCCGCGAAGCGAGATATTAATTGTTAAAGTTGACCGTTGTTAGGTTAGGAAATCTGTCATTCACTGCGATCTCACTTCAAAAAGGAGTGAAATGTTCCACTCGTTTTTTGGAGATTTCATTCTTTTTCAAGAATTTTAAATGACGATGATTAGATAAATTGTTATTATTTATCTAGTGACAAAAGGTACAATATATAAGAGTTATAGATTTTTTATTTTTATACTAAATACCGATATTTATGTTTGAAATGTATTTTGTGCTTAAAATATACTTTTATAAAAATTTTATTAATATATAGTCAAATGTATATATAGTTTAAAATACATTAAACATTATTTTAATAATCTTAGGCTGCGTTCGGCAAGACGCTATTAGCGCTATTTGTGTCATTTTATCTTCATCGTTCATTAGATATGAAACAAGGATAATATAATGTTGCATAAATGGCACTGATAGCGTGCTTTCCGAACACAGCCTTATTGTCAAACTACCCCATATCATCATGTATCATCCTATCCCAGTCCCGGGGCTAGTCGACGTGGATGGAATGCATTAGAAAAATATATTTTTTTCATACTAGTTATCAGTTTCCCATGTATGTAATAACTAGTATAGAATTCATTTTTTCGATAAGCCTCTTTATTTTGTTTGTAAAAATTCGAAACAAAAAAGTGAGTCTATAATTAGCCCCTATCTCTCCTACGCGCAATACTTTTTTATAATTTTTTTGCTCATATAATTATGTTATAACGTAGTTCTTTGTTAATGATTTTATAATGTAGTCTTTTATTAATTTTTTGTTTAATGAATAAATGGACGGTGCATACCGCGACCTCGAAATAATACTCGGTAGCATAGCATGTAATACGAGAAGTAAATTGAAATGTCTGCTCTCCGTCAATCATATC